TGGGGCTCGCGCCTGCGCGGTCGGCGCGCCTGGAGGGTAGGGCCTGGGGCTGGGAAGGAGCCGTGGGGAAGTGCCCGGGGGCTGCGCAGGAAGCCTCCTAACCTCGTGTCTCTATCTCCCAGCTTTGTGCTGAGCGAAGGTCAGAAGCGCTACTTCGAGAAGCTTGTCATCTACTGCGACCAGTACGCCAGCCTCATCCCCATCTCCTTTGTACTCGGTGCGGTCATGCCCTCCTCCCCATTCCCTTGACCCTCCTAGGACCCTCATTTCCATGGACATCTTGGAAGATCCCATTCCTGCCTCTCTGAGACACCTTTCAAGCCGTCCCCCCACCCCCACCCCACTGCACCATTTCTGGATCCTGAGACCCTGGGTGTCACAAGCTCACACATACTCCTGAAATGTCCCCATGAAAGTTCCATACAACTCAAAAGCTTATACACGCAGGTCCCGAAAGATTTCATGCAGCCCCAGACTTAAGTCCACTGTCAAACAGTTTAGTCTCTCTGGCATCTTGCTGGTGCCAGGACTCCAAATTTTCAATCTACCTATGTAAAGGGCTCCAAGTTCCCAGTCTATCTAGGTGGCCTAACATGGTTAGGGTGACTAATGTGCCCCTAATGCAGACCCTAGGGCACCTCTTGCACCAGCCAGGACTTGAGTCCTAAGCCCTCAGCTGAGCCTCCCTGTCCCCTGCCCGTTCTCAGGTTTCTACGTGACACTGGTAGTGAACCGCTGGTGGGACCAGTATCTGTGCATGCCGCTGCCGGACGCGCTCATATGCGCAGTGGTGGGCTCGGTACACGGGCGCGACGAGCGCGGACGCCTCTATCGGCGCACGCTCATACGCTACGCCGGCCTCTCCGCCGTGCTGATCCTGCGCTCGGTGAGCACCGCTGTCTTCAAGCGCTTCCCCACCATGGACCATGTGGTGGAGGCCGGTGAGGCTCGGGTAGGAGGTGGGGCGGGGGCGGGGTAAGGACGTGGGTCCAGGTGAGCAACCGCTGACCCTGCCCTTCCAGGGTTCATGACCCGTGAAGAACGCAAAAAGTTTGAGAACCTCAACTCGCCCTACAACAAGTTCTGGGTGCCCTGCGTCTGGTTCTGCAACCTGGCGGCGCAGGCCCGGCGCGAAGGCCGCATCCGTGACAACAACACCCTCAAGCTGCTGCTGGAGGTAGGCCCGGCGGGGCACTGTACCGAGGAAAGTTAAATTCAGATAGAGAAGTTGTACCCCTCGAACTGGTCAGATTGCACCCCTGCCTCGGGCCTCCAAGGCAGCCTATGGTGTGCTGCCCATCACCGAGCTATCATTCACACTACTTGGAACCCCAAAAAGAATTTACACCTTCATTCCAGGTAGACAGACCTATCCCCACCCCAGCTACTAAAAATTCGTAGAATTCTTGCCAACTCACTGTCTGTTTCCATCTTCAGGAACTGAATGTGTTTCGGGGCAAATGTGGGATGCTCTTTCACTACGACTGGATTAGCATACCCCTAGTCTACACCCAGGTAATCCCTGGCCCATGCTTCTGTTTATATCTGATGACAGGAGAAATTGAGCGCCACCTAAGACACTCCCCTCAATCACAGTGACACCCCGACCTAGCCCAGGTCCCTCGAGGGCCCAGAGCTTGGAAGGTCCCTCACCTGGGGGCCTTCTCTGCCCTTCCAGGTGGTGACCATCGCAGTGTACAGCTACTTCCTGGCCTGCCTCATTGGTCGCCAGTTCCTAGACCCAGCGCAGGGCTACAAAGGCCACGACCTGGACCTGTACGTTCCCATCTTCACGCTGCTGCAGTTCTTCTTTTACGCCGGCTGGCTCAAGGTGGGGAGGGTGGGGCCTCGGGGCGGGGACCCTGAGAGGGGCGTGGCAAACAGGTTCTCAAGGCACCGCCTACCCACCCTTTCAGGTGGCGGAGCAGCTCATCAACCCCTTCGGAGAGGACGACGATGACTTTGAGACCAACTTTCTGATCGACCGTAACTTCCAGGTGAGCGAGCTCTCGCTAGCGGAACCATCCTCGCCAAGATGTGCCCTAAACCGTCCTGCTCCTTGTGGTCGCCCAGTGGTCCCCTGCCCTCTGCTACACCTCCAGCGCTTGCTCTGCATATCTGCACCTTCAGGTGTCGATGCTGGCGGTGGACGAGATGTACGACGACCTGCCCATGATGGAGAAGGACCTCTACTGGGACTTGGCCGAGGCTCGCGCCCCCTACACAGCCGCCACTGCCTTCCTGCTGCATCACCCGTCTTTCCAGGGCTCCACCTTCGACATCACGTGAGTCAGCAGGACTGCTTGGCGGCAGAGCTCACACTCTCTAGGGATGTGTGACTGAAGAGGTTGTGGGGGGGAAGGGGACAGAGAGGGCTAAAGGCCAAACCCTATGGAGATTGGACTATCAGGACTTGAAGGGTAAAGGGTGAGCTAGGAGTCAGGGGGCGGAGCCAAGGCGGGGGGTGGAGCTAAAATGGGAGGACGGGATTGGTCAGAGGCTTAAAGGAGGAGATGGGGCGGGGCCACTATTTAAATTTAGGGATTACATTTGAGCAGAGCCTCCAGAGGGTGAAGCCAAGTGAAGCAAAGACTTTGGGGATAAGTGGGGTGGAGCCCAGGGCAAGCATCCCCCAGGGTTTTGTCAAAAGGTCTCTATAATTTGGCCATCGTTCCCCGCAGGATGGCCAAGGAGGACATGCAGTTTCAGCGGCTGGACGGCGTGGATGTGCCGCTGGGCGAAACGCACGGCGAGTTCCTGCAGCGCCTCCTGCCGGTGACCGCGGGCCCAGGAGGCCTGTTGGGCCGCCGCCTGACGTCGCTTCGCCCCCGCAAGAACAGCTGCGTGTCCGAGGCGTCCACGGTCCCCAGCTGCGTGTGCGGTACAGCCCCCGACGGCGCGGCCCTGGAGTGCGGCTGCGACGACCTGCTGCTGGACCCAAACCTACGGGAGCCTGAGCCCGAACCTTCCTGTAGTTACGAACCACTTGCACTTGCCGCCGCTGAGCCCTGCACCGTGGTGTCCATCCCAGGGCCCCGTGGGCCAGCGCCACCCTGGCTCCCCAGCCCCATCGGAGAGGAAGAAGAGAGTCAGGCCTGAGACTCCTGAGAGTCCAAGGACCTCCCAAAGGCAGAGAGAGAACCAAGAGGACACACACAGCACAGTGTGGATTTGCTTCTTTCTTCCCATCCCAACCTTCACCCCCTCTCGACTTTTCAGTGACGCGCTTCTGGCCTTTGGTAAAGGCACTTAGGATGGGACATTCCTCCAACTTCTTTGGCCACGCCATCATTACCAGCAAACAGCTCTACTTCTCATCGCTGTTGCTTGAAAGACCTCCACCAGTGCTCCGTGCCTTTATTCTCTCGTTATAATGGACTTGAGCCTCATTGAGCCGCCCTGAGGATGAAATAAAATGAGAGTTTTGCAGCTTTGGGTCCATAATAATCAAAACCAAACAAACCTGGTTGCTGTGGAGTCTATTTCAGACTCCAGGAGGCCCTTTATGTTTCAGAGAACTGCAAGCCATGGGATGTTGTGATGCCGGTGATTTTTTCAGAAGTAAATTACCAGGCCTTTCTTTTGAGGTACTGCTGAATGGATTTGAATTGCAGACTTTTCAATTAGAGCTCAGTTTTTAACCATTTGTGCCATCCAGGAACTCCTTGGTAAATAACAGGTGCTCAATAAAAGGGTGTTTTGTACTCAAACATTCACTGTACGATTTTTTTTGTCAAGTGATATGCTAAGTAAGATTTGGGAATTCTGGATTCTCACAGTTCCACCCCAATTCTGCAATCTAAAATGTCCTAAAGGTAACTCCTCTGCTTTATTCATTAAGGTGTCAAACTGTCCCAGACCACAACTTGAGCCTCATGCCAGATTTTTTTTTTTAGTCATAGTTTACCAACTTTGTTTTGTAATTCCACAAGGAACCTCATAACCACCAAAACCCCTGTGTTTTCAAGAACCTGTCAATGCTGCAGATCTTCAATCACATGCCAATGCCTCCTGAATTGAGAAGTTCAGCCAGAATCCTTCCTTGGCTCTAGGGCCAAAGAGTCCACTGCCCTCTTGAGCCTTCAGAGAGTCATGTTAAATACATTGCACCCCAGGGAGCTCTGGTGTCCTAGTAGCAAGAAGCTGAGATGCAAACCCAGAGGTATGTGGTTCAAATCCACCAGATGCTGTGCTCAAGAGGGAGGGGCAATCTCCTCCTGTACCAGTCAGACCTGATTTGATGGTACACACACAAAAAATAATAAAATTTTTAAAAAAAATTTAAAATACATTGCACCCCAAGCCAGGTCCCTTTGTCTCTTTGTCTTTCCTACCATCTTCTAGCCTGGAGGGAACGAGGCCTAAATCTTAGCAGAATATCCCCCTCTTTTTTCTTCATCTCCTTCATGGAAAACTAGCATCAAATTCTATCAGCTCTGCCTTCAAATTCTATCTAGACTCCAGAGATTTCTTACTCCTTCCGGGCCCCACCCTGGCCAGGACCCTCACTATGCCATCTTTTGCTTCTGAACAGGACTCCCTCAGACTGTTCCCCCCAACAGTGGCCAGTGGCCAGGTGCCTGTGAGCATCTGAGTTAGGGCCTGTCCCTCTTCTGTTCAGAATCTTCTCTGGCTCCTACCTCAGACTAAAAGCCCAAGTCCTCCTCTCCACTAGCACACTCCCACTCCTCACCTCTCAGTCCACATCTCCTCTCCTTACTCCTCTCTAGACACTTGGTCCCACAAAGCTTCCCCCTCATGCCTTTGAACTTGCTGTTTCCTCTACCTGGATTATTTGCCACTTCCCCATAGCCACATGACACCTACTACACCTCCTTCAAATCTTTGCACCTCACCTCCTTTGCTCCAAGTGGGATGTGACCATTGGTTGTTTCTTAGATGGCCACACACATGTATTTTATGATTCCAGGTGCTCCACACTGGATTAAGATATAGTCTTTAATTTTTAAAAAAATTTATTATTTTGTGTGTGTGTGCCATCAAATCAGATCTGACTGGTACAGGAGGAGATTGTCCCTCCTTCTCCAGCAGAGCACCTGGTGGACTCGAGCCTCTCACCTCTGGAATTGCAGTGCAGCTTCTTGCCACTAAGCCACCAGAGCTCCCTTAGAGCATGATCTTTATAAACTGCATTTTGTCAACAGACCTACATGTCTTCCTAGGTTATGGTCCTACCTCTTCAAGTTTAGTTTTAATGCCTACTATAATCATGGCCCCTACGTATATGCATATACTAAAAACATTTGCAGATATATAATAGCCTTTCTCTATTTGATGAGCTCTGATAGCATCGTCTGGCAGCGTGGCCGGTAGGGAGTTGTGCTGCTAACCCAAAGACCATACTTCTCTGATGAGTTCAAATCCAGCAGCTCTTCTCTTTGGTAGACAATGACAATTTCCTCCTATGTGATTTACAGGCATTGTAGGGTCAGCTGAGCTGGTCCAGTTTGAGAGAGACATATTTGAATTTGACTATCTGACATGTACAAGGGTTGTACATAGGGTTTCTGTGAGTTGGAATCAATGACACCTGACATATGAGGAGCCGCAGTGGCACAGTGGTTAGAAGCGCAGCTGCTAACTGAAAGATCAGTGGTTTGAACCCACCAGCCGCTGCATGGGAGAAAAATGCAACAGTCGATTTCTCTGAAAATTTACCACCTTGGAAACCTAATGAGGTAGTTTTCCCTGGATCCATATAGGATTGCTTATAGGATAAGTATGAATCTGAATTCAACTGCAGTCTTTGTTGTTGTTGCTGTTATGTGCCGTCAAGTCACTGTGACTCCTAGCAACCCTTTGTACAACAGCTTCGAACCCTGCTCTATCCTGAGCCAACCTTATGTCTCTGACACACCTCCTCCCCCTTGCCCCAGTCACTGAGTCAACTGCAGTAAGTATTGTTTATGTAGAAATGCCCACTGCTGCACTTTATCTGTATGCAAGTGTAGTCCTGTATGGCCTCCTTCTCTTTTTCTTTTCTTTTTTTATTAATTTTAATAGACATTTACAGAGGTTTTGGATTTCCATTCATTCACTGCCACACTTTTCTCCCTGCCCACCCCTCCCCACCAGTTCGCTCCCCTCTCCAAAAAGAAAAAGAAAAAAAAATTCCTTCATTAGTATACAATTCCCCCATCCCTTTCCCCCACCTCCCACCCCAGTACACTTCTCTATGCAACCTTAATTTTGGATTCCTGTGCTAACCATAATACTCAATCATATACCACCTCTAATCTGTTCTTTCCCTCATTTGTTTCAATACAATATACATAGTTTATCCAGTTTTTTCTGTTATAACCCAACCCTGATGTCAGACCCATTCTACAACAGTGGCACCATGCAGTATTTTTCCTTTTGTGACTGAGATATTTCACTCAGCATAATGTCCTCCAGGGTCACTCATTTTTAATAATATTGCATGAGTTCCTTGTTTTTCAATGCTGTGTGGATATATCACAGCCTCTCTATCCATTCATTTGTTGATGGGCCCTTAGGTTGCTTCCAACTCTTTGCTATTGTAAACAAAGCTGTGATAACATGGGTGTGTATATATCTGCTTGGATGGCAGACACAGTCTCTCTGGGGTAATGGGATTGCTGGGTCAAATGGTATCTCTATTTGTAATTTTTTGAGAAAGCGCCACACCGCCTTCCACAATGGTTGCACCATCTTACATTCCCACCAACAGTGAATAAGAGTTCCAGTTTCTCCACAACCTTGCCAGCATTTGTTGCTTGCTGTTCTGTTAAATTTTGCTATTCTGACTGGGGTGAGATGATAACTCATAGTTGTTTTCCTCCTTCTCTTATGTAGCATTCATATTTGTATCTACTCACAATTACTGTTATTTATTATAACATAAGCTCTGGTGACCTAGTGGTAAGAAGTTGTGCTACAATCTTAAAGGCAAGGTGTTCGAATCTTGGAAATCCAAAATCACTGTAAATGTTCATTAAAATTAATAAAATAAAATAAAAAAAGAAGTTGGAATCTACCAGTTGCTCCAATGGAGAAAGATGGGGGAAATCTCCTCCATGTGATCAACTGTCCCTGAAAACCTCCCAGAGGGTCAGTCATGGGTCAGTTCTTACTCAACATACACAGCAAAACAACACTACAGTTTTGTTCATGTTACACTGACTTCCTTTCCCTCATATCAAGCACTGCCATTCCCTTCACTAGAACTAACCCATCTGCTTTCTAATTCAAAGGCACTGATTCTTCATCCATCATCTTTAGGCATCTTCCAGCTCTCTGATGTGTAGCAAGTAATTTCAAAGACCATGGCCTGAATCAGGCACACCTTAGTCTCTAGACTAACATCATTGCTCTTCAGCACTCTAGCAAGGTCGCTGACTGCAGATTTTCCTAATGCAATTGATCTTTTGATTTCCTGACTGCTAGCACTAAGAGGGTTGATTGTAAAGCCAAGCAAGTTAACATTGTTAACAATCTCAATCTCTTTTCCACCCTATCATGCTATTGCCAACTGTCCCAATGGTGAGAATCTCTGTCTTCTTGATGCTGAGCTTCAATTCAGATTGGAGACTGCAGTCCTTGACTTTCTGGAGCAAACTCTTCAGATCCTCCTCAGTTTTGGCAAACAAGGTTACAGCATCTGCATAACTCAGGTTTTGATGAATCTTCCTACAATTCTGATGCCCTAATTCTCCTCATAAAGTTAATCCTCCCCAAAGTCCACCATTGAAAAATTGATTCCTCGAGTTGTGGTGCTGGCAGAGAGTATTGAACATACCATACACTGCCAAGGTCTGTCCTGGAGAGGGTGAAACCAGGTTACTCCTTGGAGGCAAGGATTTTGAAACTCCTTCTCACGTACTTTGGCCAGGAGGGACCAGTCCTTGGAAGACATCATGCTTGGAAAGGTGGAGGTACAGCGCAAGAGAAGGAGATCCTGGATGAGATGGATTGACACAATAATTGGGGTAACAGGGGCAGGTGTGTCAGAAATGGTGACACTGGCTCAGAATAGGGCAGGGTTCAGAGCTATGTGCATAGTGTGACTATGAGTTGCAGGCAACTAGACAGCACATAACGATAATAACAACTCTCTAGTTCAGGAAGCCCGGGTGGCATAGCCTGTGGAGAGTTGCCCTGCTAACCCAAGGTGACATCTCGCTGGCGGTTCAGATCTCCAGGGGTTCTATTGTGATTTCCAGTCTCTAAAAACCTGTTGAAGAATCGAGGAAGAGTTGGTGCCAACTTGGCATCAATGAGTGATTTTGCGCACTCTAGTTAGTGCGTCTCCTTTCTTCTGTCCTTCTCCTTTGGTAACTCCCAAAGAACTTTTCTATCTGTAAATTCAGAGGAAACTTCATCTCACATACTTTGGGCATGTTGTCAGGAGGGGCCAGACTTTGGGAAAAAAACTACTCTGGTAAATGAGGAGGAATGTGATATCAAGATCGGAGGAAGACTCATCAACAACCTACATTATGCAGATGACGCAACATTGCTTGCTGAAACAGAGGAGAACCTGAAGTGCCTGTTGCAGAAGGTCAAAGACTGTAGTCTTCAATATGGATTGAAACGCAACATCAAGAAGACAAAGATTCTCACCACTGGGCCAATTGGCAGTGCCATGATGCATGGAAAAAGAGATTGAGGTTGTTAACAGTTAGAGCTTGCTCAACTCCACAATCAACACTTTTGGCACCAGCAGTCAGGAAACCAAAAGGTGAGTTGCATTAGTTAAATCTAGTGTGAGAGACCTCTCCAGAGTACTGAGAAGTAAGGATGTCAGTCTAGAGACTATAGTGCTCCTGGTGCAGTCCATTTTCTTCACAAATATTTGCTATGCATCAGAGAGCTGGATAATGACTAAAGAGGACAGAAGAATAGATGTCTTTGAGTTGTGGTGCTAGAGAAGAGTTTCGAACATATCATGCACCACCAAGAAAACAAATAGGTCTTGGAGAGAGTGAAACCATGTTTCTCCTTGGAGGACAGGATTTTTTTTTTTTTCTAAGGAGGACAGGATTTTGAAGCTATGTCTCACATACTTTGGGCATGTGGCCAGGAGGGACTGATTCTTGGAGAAGAAAGAACATCATGCTCAGAAGGGTGGAGGGATAGCGTGAGAGAGGAAGACAGGGGATGAAATGGATTGAAACAGTAACTAGGGCAACGGGGGTTAGGTGTATTGGAGTCAGTGAGACTGGCTCAGGACAGGGTAGGTTTCAGAGCTATTGTACATAGGACTGCTATGAGTTGCAGGTGACTTGCTGGCACATAACAATAGCAATAACATGTTGGTAAAGGTCATTGAAAGAGAGGATGACCTTCAGTGAGATGGGTTGACAGAGTGAATGTAACAGGGCTTGAGCATGGTAGAGATTGTGAGGATAGCACAGGATAGGTCACAGTTCAGATCTATTGTTCATATAGTCACTATAAGCGGTTACTCATCTCACCTAGCAACAACAAACAACCCATTCTTGACCTTTCATAACAGGGGTTTTCATATGACATTTGGTCCTTTAGTGTTTCTTTTTCACTCAGTAGAATGTGCTCCAGCCTCATCCGTGGTGTGAGATGTTTCTCAGGTCCATTGTTCTCCGTCGCTGTGCAGAACTCCACTGGCATGCACGCACCATGGTTTAGCCACTCATCCCTTCGTGGATACTTGGGGTGTTTTCATCTTTTTGCTCTTGTAAACAATGTTGTGATGCACAAGGGTGAGCATATACCTATTCGTGTCACAGCGTTTACATTTTTGGAATATATAACTACAATCGGTGCAACAATGAATGAATGGAAATCCAAAATCTCTGTAAATATTCATTAAAATTAATAAAATTTAAAAAAAGTAACTACAATTGGATTGTTAAGGCATGTCTATTTCCAGAGTTTTGGGGTTTTATTTTTTTTATGTGTGTGTGTGTGTGTGTGTGTATCATCAAATCAGATCTGACTGGTACAGGAGGAGATTGTCCCTCCTTCTCCAGCAGAGCATCTGATGGATTCAAATCACATACCTCTGGTATTGCAGTGCAGCTTCTTGCCACTAGGCCACCAGAGCTCGCCTATTTCTAGTTTTTAAAGGAAGCATTAAACCATTTTCCATTTTGAAGTCCATTTGCCATTTTGGAGTCCTACTAGCAGTGTATTAAGAGGTTCAGGGTTAGGATGGCCGAGTGGTCTGAGGCCCTATGTTCAGGTCGCAGTCTCCCCTGAAACCATGGGTTCAAATCCCACTTCTGATAAGGCAACTTGTTAAAAAAAAAAGTTCCAATCTTCTTACAGCCAGGCTAGTATTTGTTCTCTGTTCTTCTGATCACTGCTATTATTGCTCTACCAAAGGCAATGTTTTCGGGATAGGGCAACAGAGAGGGAGGGAAAACTGAAACCCCAGCTCATGAAACTCCCTCACTTCAGAGCCTAGAGTCTGGGAAGGACAGATTTAAAGTCTTTATTATCCTTTGTCTCAGATACAAAATCAGATCCTCCCTAGTTCATTAACCCCAGAGAGAGAATCAAAAATAAGAATCACACTGCTAGCTAAAAAGAAAGAAAGAAAGAAAAGCCTCATTATCTGTCTCCTGCCCTGCCCCGCCCCACTCCACCTCCAATCTGGGAGAGCAAGCTGCAGGGCTCATGACCTTGAGGCTCCAAGGTGCTGGCTGAGACCTGATGCTGGAGACTCATATGAAGGTGGAACGGGGGTGGATTAGGCCCTGGCAGTCTGGACAGAGAGCAGGATCCTGAGGTCCATTAATGCTTGTCGCTGGGGCGAAAGGTCAAGGCTGTCAGACGTCCCAAAGGTCCACGGCGAGTGTTGGTGGCCAGTCGCTGCTGTGCCAGGAAGGACTGGGCATGGGCAGGTGCGCGCTCTTCCCCAGCTCGCTGCTGCAGGGCCATGCCCTGGAGGGGAGGCGCGAGGTTAGGTGGGGTGAACCACAGGGCCCCTGCGCTCCCTGGTCATGGTGACCCATATACTCACCATATTATACCAGGCACTGATGAGCAGCTTTTCTTCCTGCTCCCGTTGGCTTCGACTCTTCTCAAAGTCCATCTGCCAAGGAAGCAACAGCTCAGTGGCCTGGGTGGGCGGGAGCAGGGTGGTGGGAAAGGGACACTCACCTCCAAGTGCCGGATGCGGACTTCCCGCTCGTGGAGCTGTGTCCTCAAAGCGTGGAGTCCTGGGGGTGCACCCGCGGTGGGCCGCTGCTTGGGTTCCATAGTCTGCATGACCTAAGAGTTGGGGAACACACAGCGAGGATGAGCCTGCCCTGGCAACTTGATCTGGCCTGCCAGTTATGTTACAGGTGGCAAGCTGTGGCAGTGGGGAGACATGGGGGGGCAAGGAGGCAGGAAGGGGCGAGAGGCATAAAGCAAGGTGGGTGAGACTCGAGCAGAAAGCACAGCAGCCGTGGGGACGCAGGTGGGCGTGTCAGCAGGTGGCCTAGGGCGGCCCTGCATCCTCACCGTGCGCGCCTTGTCCACATAGCGGCGGTACCGCTCCTCCATGGCACGCAAGTCCGCGTCCTTCTTTTCCAGGCTGTGCTGCAGCTCCTCGATGCGCTGCGCTGCTGGGGGAAGCGCGCGCGCTCAGCTCTGCGCTCCGTTCTTGCGCTCTTGCTCCCCCTGCTGGCCGGCCTCCCTCCCGGCGCGCACTTACTGCTGCTGTCGGCAGGTGGCTCCAGCTCCTCGATGTACTCCCGCTTCCTCTGCAGCTCCAAATCCGCTTCATGCAACTTCTGCCTGTGGACAAGTGAAGAGCAGCCGCAGGCTCGACTTCCAGGCTCTGCTTCTCTCCTCTCGGGGTGGCCACAGCCTCCCCATCTGGTCAGAGATGCTCCTCTGTGCTGATTCTCCCCATGTTCTCGCTCCACTTGGCTCCCCTGTCCCCTCGCTTAGAGCCACAGTCCTCTATAACATACTCCCATCGATTTAGACCAGCTACTGCTTCCATTCCTCAGCCCCTGCTCCGGTTCAGCCACCATCGTTCCTCCACAACCTCTTTTTTTTTTAAAACAATGAAAGTATCTTTTCTTTTACTTTTCCATAATTTTTGGACTCATGTACTTATAACTTGTTAGTCAAATTTGTGTCTTCTAGGTTGCAACACCCCCATGATACATCTTCAAGGATATGAACAGGTACAGCCAAGCACAATCAATAAGAGTGCATCTAAATTACAAAATCAATCTCCATAATAGTCTATGTGTTTCCTACTGCCAAAGGGGCCCTTTAGAGTAGTGAGAGAAGATCTTCACCCTGAAACCCACAGCGTCCCTTTTCAGCAGGAAGTAGCTAAGAGAATATGCCGTCCCCTTTTCCTTATGACTCAGGGTGAAGTCTCTCTCAGGGAGGAGTGATAGGGAATGGCAAAGGACACACTGACAAAGAAGATTAATCAGAACTGGCTTTGACAAGCACTGTGGCATTTGGACAAGAACAAACTGGGAGGAGGGTAGAGAGAATAGTGCAACAATGAATGAGTGGAAGCCCAAAATCTCTCTAAATGTTTATGAAAATTAATAAAATATAATTATAGGAAAAAAAATTTAATTTTTTTTTAAATTATTTTTTGCGCGTGTACCGTCAAATTGGGACTGGTACAGGAGGAGATTGCTCCTCCTTCTCCAGCAGAGCATCTGGTGGATTTGAACCACATACCTCTGGGATTGTAGTGCAGCTTCTTGCGACTAGGTCACCAGAGCTCCCTTAATTTTTTAAAAAATTACTATTATTACGTGTGTATCGTCCAATCGGATCTGACTGGTACAGGAGGAGATTGCCCCTCCTTCTCCAGCAGAGCATCTGGTGGATTTGAATCGCATACCTCTGAAATTGCAGTGCAGTGTTTTGTCACTAGGCCACCAGAGCTCTCCTCCACACCCTCTCTTCTAGTCTCAACCTCTGGGTCCCCTTCTCCATCAGGAAGCAGAAATCATTCAGAGATCTTAGGAGCAAATCTTTTAGAACAGGAGATGCCAACCAACAGAAGCTGGATAGTTTTGCCATCTGTAGCAAAACTGCAAGACTTAGAGCAGAAGTTCCTCTATCTGTGAAGCTGTGCTTCTATGTTAAGTCTAACATCTAATCGCTTTTTCACTTTCCTCACTAATATTACAAAGGTATCTATGTAGCCCTTAGCCCTGCTGACATGTTTACACACAAGCAAAGTGATGCAACAAAGTATACAAGATTATACATTGTTAAACTAGTCAAAATTGTAAACACTTGGAATCCTTCATCAAATACATTCCAGACTAGTAACAGCCCTCCATCAGATCTGGCAGCCTAGAAACATTTTTCATTCTAGTTTAGCATCTTGTTTGGTATTTCAATTGTGCTTTGAATGAAAGTTTACAAAGCATATTGGTTTTTCATTTAGCACATATTTTGATTTAGAATGTTGATTACAATATGCACAATGTAACTGCACTTTCCCCACTTCCTCCCTGCCCTTCTCATTTCCATTAATCTTCTCTCCTATCCTTTCCAGCCTTCCAGGCTTTTAAAAACGGGCAAATGCTGCTCTTTTGACCTCAGCAGAGTGATTCATATTTCTCCAGAGGAGTTGTTGGTGGCTTCAAAGTGCGCAGTTCAACACATAACCCAGTATACAAGAAATGTACCATTAAACGTATTATAATAGCCACAAACAAAATGGAACAACGGGCCAGCCCATCTCAACCAGAATTCCACAGAACTAAAGCCTAGTGCCCTGAGGCATTCATCAATTGCATTCTAGAATGTTCCTAGCTCTGTTTCATCCTGGGAGAACTGAGAAAACACCAGCCAAATAGTGTTCTGCTTGGCTTAGGTTTAATTTTATCACAGAGTCTCAGCTGCAGGAGACTACTATGCTGGCAACGATAACACTGCTAATAATGTATTTATTTATTCATATGCGGAAATTTCCATTCTGTTAAGCAGGAAAAGCAAAGGACAGATGAACACATATTATGCTACCCTTGCGTAAACAGTGGAGCAAACCAAAAACTAGATTCATAATCATTTGCATTTAAAATTTTGAAAGGATTGTTAGAACAAACTAAGAGGAACTGGGGCAGAGTGAAGTGGAAACAGAGTCCACAGGGCTGAACTGGGAGGAAAACTACCTCTCTGTATAGTTTTGAGGCTGCTTTTTTGTGTTTGTTTTACTTTATGTTTTGTTTTTTGATGTATAAGCTTAATAGCTAGTTTCCTCATAAGAAAACATAAAGTATCGATCTACCATATTCCTTCCCATATCCGTGGCTTCCCAACGAACACCCACCCCCCAATTGTGATATTCTTCCTGGCTGTAAGGATTTGGGCCATCATTTTCCCTCTGCCCCATACCAAACCCACCCCTGGTCCTGCCCTGGCAGATGCCCTCCCACCAGGACTCACAGATGCTCCTCCAGCTTCCTCTTCAGCAGGGCGGGCTGGAGAAAAGATGAGAAGAAGCAGGAGATGAGTAGAGATTCAGAAGTCCTGAATCCCTTAAAGGTCAGTGTAGGGGGTTTGCTTCAGCCTACCGCACTTACAATGGCCTGCACCGGACATCAGGCAGCAGGGGGGAGAGAGAGGAGGGTTACTGGGGGATGTGAGGGAAGGTGGGCAGGGGAAAGGTGGACACTCACGTCCTCAGTCTTGCTCCCCTGTTCCTGCAGGCTCTTCTGCAGGTCTTCCACCTGGGCCCGCAGCTCTGACAGCTGCTGTTGGTTCAGCCTGTGGAGGTGAGAGCGACTCGGTTCCTGCACCCCTCCCCCCGCCCCCTAGGGAGCACCCAGGGCTCCTGCTGCCCGCCCTCACCTGTGCCCTCACCTGTGCTGCGTCTCCAGCACGTGGCGCGCACGGTTGGCCTCCTCCAGGTGGCGCTGCAGGTCCTCCTGCCGCTCACGGTCCGCAGCCTCCTGCTGGCACAGCCGCTTGTTCTCCAGCTGAAGGCGCAGGAGCGTCTCCCTGCCCGGGGAGGGGGTGAGCAGGGCTGGGAAGCAGCCACCCCGCAGGCCTGCCTAGGCATGGAGTTGGGGGGATGGACAGGGCTCTGGGGAAGAGCCAGGCAGGGGCAGGGACCAGAATACAGAATACTAGGGTTAGAGGCCCAGTGTGAGTGGGCAGAGCGAGAAGAGGGCCTGAGTGGGTGGGGCTGAAATGGAACCCAGGGATGGAGTCAGGTGTGGCTGCAGGGAGGGAGGAGAAGGTGGGGGCTGGGCTAAGGGGAAGTAAGGATACAGGGCTGGAGCAGCAAAAGCACAGAGAACTGAACCAAACGGACCCCACACTAAGGACTAACTGAGCCAAGAGCTAAGGCTTGGAGTGGGGCACGTGGTCTAGGAGCAGAAATTAAGGCACTAGGGGTGAGCCAATGACAGCCCGGTGGACAGAACTACTGAGGGCCAGGGACGTGGAGGCCTAGAGAGAAGCGGGCAGGTAGGACCAGGTGTAAGATCTGGACAATGAGAATGCAGCCCTGGGATTTGGACTTCACTGAGACACGATCCTTACATTAAGGATGGATTTGGAGAGGTGAAGCTGTGAGGCTGGGCTAGAGGCCCAGGACCAGGTAAAGGCTGAATTTGGAGGGCAGGTGAGACTAGGAGCTAGGCTGGCCCTGGGAACCGCATCTAAGCACAGTTACGGTTTTGAGATTCACGCACCAGCGTGGGCTGAGGGTGGCCCCTGGAGGCCTGAGATGGGGGCAGAGGGTTGCCAACGCTCCCAATCCCAGGATACCTGAGCTCGGTTGGCAGGATTTCTGCTGCTAAATTTTCCACAGACGGTGCCCTGGGATCTAGTGAAGGGTCTGGAGAAAGAAAGAAAAAAAAGGAAAAAGGGGGGGGAATTCAAGTCCATACACGCTTGTCTGCGGCCCCATTGCTACTCCCAGGGTCATCTGTCAAAGGAAGCCCTGGTGGCCTAGTCGGAGGAAGTTGTACTGCTAACCCAAAGGCCTTGTCTTTCTGGAAGTTCAAGTCCAGCAGCTGCTGTCTGTGCAGGAGAAAGGCGGCAATCTCCTCCTGTGCAATTTACAGCCTCCAAAACCCACTGACAGGTCAGCTGTGAGTTGGTTCTGAGTTTGAGATTTTTATTTTTTGTTAAATAGCCTTCCAAGGAGTCCTGGTGGTGTAGCAGGGAAAGCAATTGGCTGTTAACTGAAAGGTCAGAGGTCAAATCCACCAAGGGCTCCGTGGGAGGAAAGGTAAGACTTTCTGGTCCCGTAAAGTTTCACAGCCTTGGAAACCAAGTGGGACGGCCCTAGTCTGTCCTTTAAGTTCACTATGCATTGGAATCAACCGATGACAATGTGGTTTGGGTTTGGGGCACTCCAGGCCAGGTAGAACCCTAGAGCCTTCCTTTCCAGGCCCCAGTTCCCAGATCCACCCACACGGGCCTCCTGCTCACCAGCCTGGGTCAGCCCCCGGGGCTGCAGCTGGACACAGCGCAGTTCCTCATTGGCCTCCCGCAGTGAATCGCGTTCAGCCAACAACCGCTGAAGGAACAAGATGCATAAATGGCAAAGGGGGGGGGGATTATAAAAGAAGCCACCAAAGGTAGGATATGAAAGGTTTTCCTAATGGGGGAAATGGGCGACCCCTCAAGCAGCAGGACTGGATGGCGGAGGCTGGAGTTCAGCCTCACCTCCTTCTCCTTGGCCACGGACTCATATTTTTCCTCCAGGTTACGGCACTCAAAGAGCCATTTCTCGGCCTTCATGGCCTCCTCCTGCCGCTGCACCTGCAGTTCCTGAACCTACCAGAGAAGAGGGATGAGGGCTGCAAGGTTGGAAGGAGAGGCACGCAGTGAGACCGGCCAGGATTGGAGCAAAGAACTTGGGGAGCAAGTTAGGGAAGGGGCAGGAGTCATAAGCCCAGCGAGGAGCGCTAACCAAGGAAGAGATCCCTAAAGGGGCGTGATCTATACAAACCAAGGAGGAGGGGTCCAGCCTGCGGGTCTGGGGGCGGGCCGAAGTGAGAGGATGCACGCCCCTGGCCCCGCCCCTGCGGACCTCCGCACCTGCCGCCTCTGCGCCTCGAGCTGGGCGCGCAGCGAGCCCGCCCGGCGCAGCTCATCCTCCAGCTGCCGCGTGCGCTCCGCGTGGCCCGCATTGCGCTCCTCCAGCTGCCGCACCTGCCGCCGCAGCTCCCGCAGTTCGCCCAGGCGGCGCCGGCAGCTGCTCAGCGTGGCTTCTAGCTGCCCGGCCCGCTCCGAGGACTGCCTGCAGGAGGAGGCAGGGAGAGAAGCAGACAGGCAGGCGCCTGGGGTCAGGCCTCAGCTGGGAGAGGGGCAGCAGAGGCACTTGGGTTAAAAGTGACGGGGTTATAGGGGCCGCAGGAGTGGAGGCCCTAGTGCTGTTGGGGGCCTTTAGGGGTCAGGAAGGACACTCAAGCATCAATGGTTAGCACTAAAATAATAATTGAGGATAGAATGGTGAGGCCACACAGAAAGGCTGTGGCAGGACAATGGGAGCGATGGGGTCCCAGTGGGGCTGAATGGCCTCCAGGGGCACTGTGGGGTTATGTGGTCGTCATCTGTGAGGGTCTAGTGGACGCATTAGAACTCCAAGGATTCTGTGGGATCACGCGGTCTAGGAGGTAACCACTCTGGAGGCCTACCAAAAACTGTTATAAGAAGGTACAGTCATGTCCTGGGGGCACCTGAGGTCACAGGGGTCATGGAGGGCCAGCTGGGACCTGAGGGCAAAGCTTGGCCCAGAATGGCACAGTGGGTGTGGGCAACAGTGTGAGGGGCCTGGGCTAGCTGGAGTCACAGGGGTGCTGTGGAATCTGAGAAGCATGTAATAAAGAGGCACACTGGGACTCCGGGGTCACAGGGATTCAGGGAGCATGATGGGGTCTAGACGAGATGAGGGGTGCAGGCTGGTGCAGTAGTAGAATTGAGGAGTTTAGGTTCTTAGAATACAGGTTGTCGGGAGCTCTGGTGGCCCAGTGGCAAGAAGTTGCACTGTAATCCTAGAAGTACACAGTTCGAATTCACCAGATGCTCTGCTGGAGAAGGAGGGGCAATCTCCTCCTGTACCAGTCAGATTCAATTTGACAGTTGGTACATACAAAAAAACAATAAAATTTTTTCCCAAAATCTCTGTAAATGTTCATTAAAATTAATAAAATAATATTGTTTAAAAAGTTGAAAAAAAAAGCATACAGGTTGGCACTGTGGAATTGGAACATTATAGGAGCCTGTTGGGCATTTTAGGGAGCTCTGGTGGCAAAGAACTGTGCGGCCAACACAAAGGTATGTGGTTCAAACCCAGCAGCTGCTAGATGGGAGGATAGGCAATCTCCTGTGTGACTCACTGCCCTGAAAACCTACTGGATGGTCAGCGATGAGTCAATTCCGACTCAGTGGTACATAACCACAGCTTGGGGCATTTTGAGGTTATAGAGATGTGGCGTATCCAGGAACAATCTGTGAAGGGTGGGGATGCAGGGACCACACTCACCGCAGCTCATCCATCTCATCCTTCAGGGCCTGCGCCTCCTGGGCCAGGCTGGTCAGCGCCTGGTTGCGCTGCTGCAGCTCCGTGACCTCACGCTCCAGCTCCGTGCAGCGCAGGCGGTCATCCTCTCTGCTGCTCTCCAGCCTGGGAGGGTGCGGACCACGTGAGAGGGCAGCGCCCTGCCTGGCCCCTCATCTGCCTGGCCTCTATGCCCGCCTGGCCCCACCTGAAGTTCTCCTCCTGCAGCTGCTCCAGCTGGGACTGCAGAAGCAGCAGCTTCTTGGCAGTGAGACCCACGGCCCCCTCGGTCTCGGGTCGGCCGACTCGATCCCGTAATGCTGCGTTCTCCTGCGCCAGGCTCTGTTTCTCCTCCGACAGGAGCATCAGCTACAGGGAGTCGTGGATGAGCTGGAGCTCAGCTTAGAGGGGGGCTATGCAGGGACCCTGCCCCGGGAGCACCTGCACCGGCCCCACCTGCCGCTCCAGATCCAGACAGCGCTGCCGAAGCTCGTCCCCTTCCTCAGCATCCTCGCTCAGAAAGTAGTATCTGCGGGACTGAGGGGAAGGGAAAGGCACTTAGAGATCCAGGGGAAGGACTGGAGAAAAAGAGTGTGGAGTCTCGAGGGCAGAGAGGAGGGGGCTTTGGTGGTCTAGTGGTAAGACATTGTGCTGCAATCCAAAGGCACATGGTTCAAATCCACCAGCTGCTCCATGGGAGAAGGTTGGGCAGTCTCCTGTGTGATTAACTGCCTCTAAAAACCTGCTGGAGGGTCTGCTATAAGTCAAACAATAGAGCAGAGAGGAAGGGGCCAAGAAACCCTCAGGGTCTTAGGAGGGAGGGCTGGGACCCCAAGACACTGGGAAAGAGCTGTATAGGAACTTTGGGGGGAAAGGCTAGTTGAGGTGGTTTTCAAAATTATAGAGAAGCCTCTTCTCCTTAAAGGAGCTCTGGTGGCTTAGTGTTAAGAAGGCTTAGTGTTAAGGAGTTGCGCTGTCAACCCAAAGGCACATGGTTCAAATGCACCAGCTGCCCCAAGGGAAAAAGACGGGCCAGTTCCTCCTGTGTGATTTAATGTCTCTGAAAGCCCACTGGAGGGTGAGTTATAAATGGATTTCAGCTGGAGAATACGTATCAAAAGTAGCCTTCTCCTCAGGTGATCCTGAGTGGCTGTAACCTTTAACATCAATAAACTACCCCCTCACCCCTTACCTGATTGTCAAAATTTCCATATGTCTCCAGGGACATGGAGTCTGGGGTGTCTTTGGTCATAAGCTAGGAGGAGAAAGGCCAGAGATGAGCTGGGTGTTCTGAGGGTAACCAATTAATGTGTGTATGATCTAACTTAAGAACCTGGCCGTCCTGTCCCCAAGGCCAGTTCCCCAATAACTCCAGCCCCCAAGGCTGCCCGGTGTCCACCATGCAGCGAGGCCAGTCTGAACCTGCTGGCTTGTGTCTTGGAGCTGGCAGACACATGAGACACATGTCTGGTCAGCTGAGTTCCAGGCAGAGCCCAGCCCAGCCCTGGGCCCAGCTGCCTCGGTCCTGGAGCTGCCCCATGCTCCCATGCTCCTTGACACACAGGCACCCCCACCCACCTCCTGGATGGCTTCCATCACCACCTGCTGAACTGATTCCTCCAGTGTCATGATCCTCTGGATGTGCTCTGGGGATAAGGTGAGGGAAACCAAGACTTGGACTCAGGGCAATGGTGAGGGAAGAGAACTTCCTCAGATTATCCTCTGGAGACAACCGTGCCCTCCTCATACCCTGCTTCTTGTCACAACTGATGGCACAGCCCAGCACAAGCTGAAGCAGCTTGCCAAGCTCTTCGGGGTCTGAGAACTCTCCAATGAGGCTCACGTCAGGGAGGTGCTGCTTGGACACGGGGTGTCCCAGGACCTGAGGATAGGGCAAGGGTGGTGTTGGGGACTCACAGACCCTCACTCCCCTCCATCAGCACTAACTGAGTCCCTTTACATTTACTCACATCCTGAGAGTATTCCACCAGGCTCTGCAAAATTGTCTTCAAGTTGCTAACCTAGAAAGATTCAAGGGCTGTGCCTAGGGATTCAGAGCCCCCCAGAGGGGCTAGGCAACCCCATTCTGTCTACTCCAACCTTTCCCCCTCCACTTCTCAATTCCTGATCATCTCATCTCACTTGTCCCCAGTCTGTCTGAATGTGCCCTCCCCTGGGGATATATTCCCAGGCAGTCTGTGTTTCTGGCCCACCTAACCATCTCTGTTCACATGTTTACAGAATCCAACCACTTCACCACCTGTACCACCACACCTTGGCCCTCACCATCATCTCTCACGGTGATTATGATCCCAACCCTCTCTCTGCCTCCATTCCACTGACATGCCCTTTCTCTCCAAACAGCCAGGAGGAGCTTTTTCAAAATCAAACCAGGTTTTGTCTTTCCTCTATTAACAATCCTTCCTTGGCTTTCTACAACACTAAAATAGTGTCTCTATCTATCCCTGTCCAGGGGGACCTCTGATGGCTGAGTGGTATGGAATCGTATGCCAATGCAAAGGGACACTGTGAATCCGCTGGCTGCTCGGTGGGAGAAAGAGGAGCCCATTCCTCCCATGTGATTCACTGCCTCAGAAAAACTGCTGGAGGATCAGCTAGGGGTCAGTTCCAGCTCGATGGGGAACTAACTCATCTGGTTAATAAAAGTCAGCTCCAATATTTCCACCATTCTTCTATCATGCCAAACTCACTCATGACATAATATGGCCTTTGTCCTTGGTGTTACCTATGCCTGGCACAGGAGTCCTAGTGGCTCAGGGGTTAAGTGCTCCACTCACTGAAACGTCAGCAATAGGGACTCACCATCTACTCCGGGGCAGGAGAAAATGAGGCGACTGGCTTCGGCAAACAAAAATTGACTGCCTTGGAAACCCCGTGGGGTGGTGGGTTATGGGTGGAATTAACAGAATGGCAGTGGGGAATCCTGAACAAGGGGAATTGGTAGTGTACTAATGAAACGCTCTGATGTTAACCAAAGGGTCAATGGTTAGAACCCTCAGACCGTGTCAAGGAAGAAAAGCCGTGGCAATCTGTCCCTTATAAAGATTCAGACTAGGAAGTGCTATGAGGGACTCAACTGTCCTAAGGGGTCACTTTGACTGGAATTGATTCAGTGGTACACAACATATATCAAACACACTTCTTCACCTCAAGTGGGGTACATTTCAAAGCAACATCCAAGGCCCCCAAGATCTCTCTCATGACCCTGCTTTTATTGTCTTTTTAAGGCTCACTGGCATTGGGAGGGAATTTTTATGTTCGTATATGTATTGTTGGTCCACATCACTAGAAGGCCAGCTGTGTGAGGGCAGCTTTTGGGGTGGGTTGTTTCTTTCTGCATCCTCATTCCTGGCAAGGAGAATGCGTGAAGGAACAAACGTCTGGTTGACCACTGGACATGTGTCTGTCTGTGCACCACCCAGGCTATGTGTCTAGCTGTCCCCTTCCTGGATATCATTTTATCAGCCTGTCCCCTAGTCATAAGTCCACCTGTCACCTTCAGTCTCCAGTTGTGACCCGAGTCGTCTGATATGCCCTGCAGCCATGTTTCATTGAACCAGGATGGGTCTCTGGGGGGGTAAGAAGGTGGGATGAGCTCAGCTGGGGGACCCTTTTGGGGCCCTCCCCTTCAGCCCCACTCACATCTGGTTCAGCACATAGGCTACTGCGAGGCCGCTGCTCAGGTCTTGTGGGCTGGCACAGGGGGGCGGGACGTTGAAAGTCTGCAACTGAGACGAAAGGAGTTGGGCAAGAGTTAGCACCTAAGACCACCGAGCTACTCCCCTTTTTTGTAGTTGAGGTCAGAAGGAGCCCTCGGGCTCAGATTAGTCTGTTGCTCCACCTCATCAACGTGGAAGTGGCTCAGCTTACCTGGGACCAGAGGGGGCGTGGCCTTACCTCACCTCGGTCCAACAGTCCCTACACAAGCAGAAGGTGGAACTGAGCGCCCTAAGAGCCACGTGACCACCTGGCTCACCTGTGTCCCCGCCCCTTGCGACCCAGGCACGGAGGGGCGGGGCCTCACCTGTTCTTTCCACACAGACATGCCACGTGATAAAGGCGGGTGTGTAGGCCAGAGTCCAACGTTCCTACAGGTCCACGACCCCCCTCCTCCCCCCGCCCCCAGAGCAGAGAGGCGGGCCGAGCCAGGGTCCGGGGCTCCTAGGCGAGAAAAGCTGGTGCACACCTGTTCCCGGTCCCGCCCCCGACCTACCCAGGTAAGCAGAGACCCGCATAGCTCGGCCTTGTCCACATTCATGACTCCCGATCGGATTCGACCCCGGCCGCGGAGCCGCCTCCGCCGAAGCCGCCTCCAAAACCGCCACCAGTGAGCGCCTGCAGCCCCGACCTCTTGCTCTGCCCAGGGCCCCGCCCCGCCCCCCGCCCCCTAGGCGCAGGGCCCTCCCTCGTCACGTGATCTCGGCGCCCATGCGTGCCTCCGGCGCCGCCATTTTGGAGCCGGGCAGCGTTCGGGCTTCCGCCCAGCCTCTAGAGGTCAGTCTGGTTCAGCTTTACCCTCCCCGAAGGGGGCCCACCGCCCCTCTTTCTCTGGCTCTTTTGCAAAGTAGAAGACCCTTAAGATGAGCATCTGAGACTGAGTGTTCACTTCTTGTCCTTTCCTCTGTATAGAATTCAGTTAACCCACCTTCCTGCAGTTCGCAGAGGTTCTCTAATGATTGGAGCCTTTAGCGTGACTTGGGATACTTGGGATCGTGAATGGGCTCCTCCCGTTGGTTGTGATGTAGGAGTCTGGCCTCAGGGGACAAGGGGACATAGACTCGGGGCAGGAAGGGCCAACGAGACACACGCCTAAGGGATGGACAGACATGTGTCCAGTCTTAGTCATTACCCTGCTGGGCTACTCCTGTGCCTCCGCTTCCCCGGTGACCGCGCCCAGTATTCCCTTCCCGCTGAAGCTGCGCTTCGCCCTCAGCCCGCTAGGGGGAGCCCAGATCGTAGGGATGAGGCTCTCAGGGAGGAGGGTGCACCATCCTCCCTGAAGACAGCGGGTGGAGGGGTGGAATGTGTTAACAGTCATTAGTACATGTCCTCCAGCTGCCAATACAATTGGAATGTGGAGCGTGATTCTGTGACATCTTTACGATCCTTGGTAGGTTTCAGTCTATTGCTTCAACTATTGTGTAGTGTGTTCCAACAAAGGGAGCTCATCTTTCCAGCGCTATTTTATCAGACGATAATTCGGCTGTGATCCATAGGGATGACACTGGCTCACTTTCTGAGCCAGATCGCCACGCTTTTTCGCACTACTCTCTGTCTGGAAACTCACTGAAAAACCATGGATAACCTTGCTGGTATTCAAAATGCTGGTGGCTGCGTAAATCAATATAAAATGAAAAACAAATCAAAACAGAACTGGTGGCGTAGCTTCCAGCATCGTAGCAACGCATAAGGCACCACAGTACAGCTGACAGATGGATGGTGAATAACAGTAATGGAAACAGTAAAATCACATTCACCCTATATTTCATGCCTCCTATTTGCAGTCTCTTGGCTAAGTAATTTTAATATCCTAGGTGGCAAGTGTCATTTTAATTCTTGGTTTGCATGCAGGCAAGGAAATAGGCTATGGGTACACCCAGTTTGGGGAGGAGTGGGGAGAGCCTTTTGACCCACATGGAGTGGGCAGGGTAATGATCAGTAATTACATGTTACCAGCTGTAACATGTAACCTGGTGGTGCAGTGGCTGTTAACCAAAAGGTCAGTGGTTCACACCCATCAACCAGCTGCTCCAGGGGAAAGATGTGGTAGCTGGCTTTCATAGAAAGACTGCAATCTTAGAAGCCGTCTGGTTCTACTGTCACAGGGTCACTATGAGTCTGAGACAATTCTACATGGTAGTAGGTTCTGAGTTAGATTTTTTATTAGCTATAACCAGAGGTTATTGGGGGAGAAGCGAGAGGAAGGGAAGGAGGGGGCAGGGCAGGTCTTGCCCTGGGGGTGGGGGGATGGGTCTAGGTGGAAAAGGGAGAAGGCTTTGCTTCCTCATGCTGAGTCAGCTCTGGTGGTACAGTTCATAGGGAGCTGCGTTGCTAAACCCAAAGGCTGTGGACTCTTGACATTCAAATGCATCAGTAGCTCCTGGGGAGAAAGATGGGCAATCTCCTCCCATGCACATTCACAGCCTTTAAAAATCCACTGGAGGCTTGGTTTTGACTTGACAGCAATAAGTGAATGAGTCGCCCAGAGTCTGGTTTAGGAGAGTGGGCAGGGTGGCCTCCATCGCACAGCTTGGTGGCCTAGTAGGTAGGAGTTGGGCTGTCAACCCAAAGACCATCTTTTTTAATCCATCAAATGCTCAGTGAGAGAAAGATGAGCAGTCCTTTCCTGTGTGCTTGATAGCCTCCGAAAACCCCCTGGAAGGTCAGCTAAGAGTCTGTTCTGACTTGAGGGCACATAACAACCATTGCATGAACAGAGTCACCCTGCACCCAGACACTGGTTACAGCCCTCCTGATCTGGAACTGAAGGTATGCAGAGGTGTCAGGCTTGTTCACACCCCTATGCCCCTCCCAGGTTGTTTTCCAGCCTCTGGCCAGCCTCAGAGTAAAAGGTGTGGCAGGAGCAGGGGGGTGGGGTGCGGACAAAGGCCAAAAGTCAGCTTCCAGGCTGGGCTGCCTTCAGGCTGGCGTGAGAACAACTGCGTTGGCTCCCCACCCTGCTCAAACCGTAGGAGTGGGTGCTATAAAGAAGGGGAACGGGTCATTCTGCCTCTAGGTAGCGATGTTAGTGAGCCAGGAACCAACACGGAAGATCTAAGGATGGAGGGCTGGTCTTCCGAATATTTGTGGGTGAGCCTGTCCTCCTCAGGGTCAAGTAGTATGCAGGAACAATGAGTGTTTTTAGTTGGAAGTCCTCAGACTTGCAAAAACCTAGAAGTATTAATAATTTATTAATTTCTTAATTTTCAAATGAATATTATTGAATGACACAGTAATCTTTTGTCTAGTTGCTGAACTGAACAACTTGGTGTTGCTGTAACTCTGCTCACTGTTCCATAGTTTTGTCAAATACCATAATGGTTATCCATTATGTACAGTGTTTACATGAACTTCCAGATTGATTTATGCTGGGAAGCAGGAGTGGCATCCACTTCCTAATTCTAGATGCCTCTGGAAACTCTACATATTCTCTAAATTCGACAAGCTCTCTAAACTCTCTAAATGTACATAAATGGTGGTATTTATAGAACAGAGAGTTCTGTACAGAAATCATGTTAGTTATAAAACAGAGTTTAGGTCTTTTGTGCAAAACTTAGTATTATTCGCCTTGATGCCACTTAACCACTACTAAGTGGAACAGGTGCTGTTATATCTGGAGGAACACTCTTCCAACTTTGTACATCACTCTTTGTCAGTGTGCAGTATGAAGTAACCTGGGTTTGCTCTGATGCTGAACCTTGTACTATTGGGGTATCAAATACCATAATGGTTTCCCAATGTGGACACTGTTTGGTGGAGCTCCCAGTTGTAAAACAGGTTTGGAAGCAGGAGTAGCATCCACTTCCTAAACCATATGCCTCTAGAAAGTCTATGACCTTGGAGAAATGACAATAGTTATGGAAAGGCATTAGGTTTTTTTGTTCATAGAGTGACTATGGGTTGCGCTCTACTGGACAGCAATCAACAACAACATTGATACCTAGAGGGAATTTGAGTCCAAACGTTCAAGGAGTGGACTTTGTTTCAATGCTGACAGAATAGTCTAATAAGAGTCCCAAATGCTCAGAATCCCCAGGTTTAAGCAAGAGTTTGAGTCCTCTCAATCTGGGACAGGAGCACTCACTTTGAGTGGCAGTGAGGGCCCTATCTGGAGAAAGAAGGGACCTCCCACATCACTAGGGAGGAGAAATATTTGGGATGCTATGAGCCTTATGGTTGTGGGGATCTGAGTGCCTTCAATTCAGAGAAAGGGGGTTCAATTCCTCCACTTGGGGCAAAACCCTCCTAGAAACCAATAGTCTCAACGTGGTTCCTGACCAGTAGCCCCCAATGGATTTGGGGACCCCACCCCCTGCCTGTTTCCAGGAACAGCTGGGCCTGGGTTGTACTGCTGGGAAGCTGGTGACTCAACCCCTCCCTGTGGCCACAGCTGGACCCCTGCCCACCCCCTCTGGCCTTCACATCTGGGCAGGGACTCAGTCATAAGGGCTGAGACAGGGACCCTGGGTTCACACATAACAAGAGGACAATGTCACATCCCCTCTCCTCAGCTGACCACAGCCACTCAATGGACCCCATATCTCATTCCACAGGGCAGGCTCCCTTCACCTCACACCCTGACATCCTGCCAGGAGCTTCCCCCCTGTATCCCTGTATCTCTCCGTACGTATGAAGTGTGCTGAAATTTATGTAGGTGTGAGGTTGTGTGGTACTGTAAGTGTGTTATGTCTGCATCCTTTCACCTGTATGTCTTGGTGCCCTGGGAGTTTGTGCAGCTGGCTGCCTAACAGAGTGAGAGGGGGTTTGTCTCCATTTCTGTTTGTTAACATCCAGTCAGGAGGATAGTGTGACTTGATGCCTGCTTTTGTGTGTGCCCCAGTGGGGTCCACAGAGTTGAGAGGTCACTCTGGTTGTGTCTCCAGGTATGGTATCCCTATCTACCACATGTTCATCTATATAGGACCTGTTTTTGTGCTTCTATTCTTATGATGGTGTGAAAAGTAAATTTGTGAGTGTGACAGCTTGACGATATGTCTATGTGATTGTATCATACTGTGCCTTCACTTTGTCTTACCTGTGTTTTTCTGTGATGTGACCCTGTCTCCTGTGGCCTTGCTTTGTCTCTGTTATTGCGACAATTTGGATGTCCCTGTATATGGCCTTGTGAGATCGCCTCAGAGTCTGGACTCTACTTTGATGTGATAACCATGTGACAGAATGACTGCCTTGTGTTTCTGTCTCCACCATGTTTGGCTCTGCTCCGCTTATGCCTCCATTTCTCTACGTGTGTGTGTGTGTGTGTGTGTGTGTTCCGATTGTGCCTCTGTTGCTCTACATAACTCTGTGTGTGTCTGCTCCGATTGGGCGCTTCGATTCCTCTTTGTAACTCTGTGTGTCTGTCTGCCGAGGGGGATTTATGTCACTGTGTGTGTGTGTGTCTGCCTGGGGGGACTTATGTCACCGTGTGTGTGTGTGTGTGTGTGTGACCCTGTCCGTGACATTGAGTGAGAGGGTTTGTTCGTGACTATGTACCTGTCAAAAACAAAGAGAACCAGAAGCTGAAAGAGAGACAGAGAC